ATACCCTCATGAGACCCTTATCAAGCTGCAACATACCGACCCGGACGCCCACCGCGCCCGCCCACAAATGGACGACCGTACCTGCTCGTATTGCTTCATTTGCGAAGTAAAATATGAAGCGAAGGGATTGATATGAAGCGGCTGCGGTGCTGCATGGATATATGAGTACATACGTGCAGCCGTATCTACCGTAGCGGTTATTGGCAAGATGCCTACGGGAAACTCGTCCGAAATTGCTTTTTGAGTCATTAAGAACGAAGGCTTTTCTTCGCAGGTTTTTGACCGTTTCACTTCGTTTTTCGCCATTTTCCCCACTATATAGCACCCTGCTAGCATTTAGACCGAGTACCAAATTATCGTGCCATATGCCTTTAATTACATAAACCGCTGTTTGATGTGGAAGGTTGCTTGTCGGTCTGCCCCTCTGCAAAATCCCCCATGATGTCACAGGAGAAGCGTTAGGAGAAAAGAATCGCCAACAAAATTTGGAACATTTGCCATCAGTTATCAACACTTTGTGGGAAATCCCGACAAAATATCAAGTGGGAGTCCCAAATGCACATTCTCCCAGACTGCGGGTTCCCCACAGTCGGATGTGGGATCGGTCTCGCGGTACCGATCTAACAAAGAAGGTCTTTCAGGTCGTGGCGCGCTTTTTGGAAATGGTTTGTTGCTTGTTGTAGGGGTCCATACAAGGGATCACAAAAATGGGTTTCATTTTTGCTATGCGTTTCTGGGAGGTCAAAAACTGAGTGAAAAGAATTTGACAAGAATGGGCGTATTTAACTGTCTAGCAGTGGAAATAAGCCAAGTATACGATAGTTAAAAGTATAAGATAGTTAAAATCGCCCATTCTTGTCAAATTTTTTCACTCAGTTTTTGACCTCCCCAGAAACGCATAGCAAAAATGAAACCCATTTTTGTGATCCTTGTATGGACCCCTACAACAAGCAACAAACCATTTCCAAAAAGCGCGCCACGACCTGAAAGACCTCCCTTGTAAGTCATATTAATTAATGTCACGACACCTTCCTCAATTATCCAAGACACCCACTTAGTGCGTCAGGCGGCCCGCAAACTTGTAGCATCGTCCCTGGAAATCAGCAACCGCGGAGGACGCGTAACACGCTGCTCCAAAGAAAAACCAGACCAGACGGCTATCGCAGGGAGTGTTGCTAATTGTCATTTTTGCACCTCGTCTATGACTGACAATTACGTTTACAGGAGAAGTTTTCGATTTGGTTGTCATGGATCCGCCATGGGAGAATCTTAGTGTGAAACGCCAACAAAGGTGGGATGAGTGTGTTGTTTTTTTGTTCCTGCTTTGACGGCAAACTGTCATTCTGGTCTGATTCCAGTTACGTCACATGTGAATCGCCTTTAGAAAGTGTCGATCTGGAATGTTTGGCAAATGCTGGTATGGTAGCGATTTGGATCACAAATCGAACAGGTATTTTATCTTCTAAGGAACAGTAACCCCTTAGAGAACGACTCAACCAAAGGACCCTTGATAGACCTGTCCAATGTGCTGGTTGAGACCTCAGCTAGCTGAG